GCATTGTCGGAAACCATGAAACGGTTCGCAATCTTTCAATGAAAATTGTTGAATAGGATCAGATTTTACTGTTCTATAATATATCTATAGTCACATTTCAATTCTACTGTTTAGGGACCAAAAAATTGAGAAAATGTGAATCTTACGAGTGAAAAATGTTGATATTAGATAAGAGAATGAAGGATTTGTATATTTTTCTCACCAGCGGGACTAACGGAGAATTATACAATATCAGTAGTATGGAAAGTCCACATAATATTACTAGGTCAATACCAATTATACCAAAAAGTATGTGCTATTGTAGCTCCACTAGTTTCTTTAACATGTTGCGTTCGACACTCTGCTTGTGTCAATGTCAGATTCATATATTTCCTGGTGTCTTGAGGTTCTGTGGGGACATAAATAGTCCCGTGAAACTGTTCAACGCGCAAAATTAACTCGTGTTTGTTTTACCTTGAGACGTCAAAGACTATTTTGCGAGCACCGATATCATTTTACTGTGTACTAAGAACGACGGAGACATTGTGATTCCCAGGGTCAAGAACAATCTGTCACTAGTGGTGCTATAAAGCACACACTTTCTCTTAATATTGGTATCCGTTACATAAATTTATAAGGAGATGATTTGTTATAAATTCCACATATCACTTGGAAAACTTCCTAAACAAATGCAGCGGAAAACAAATGCAACGTTTGGGGATTTCCTGCCACCGAAAAAGTGTTGTTGTGTTCTTCAAAATATTCAACAACACAGTTCACTAAATTCTCTTAATTTTTATAATTTGTTTGGCTACAACTAGAATAGCATGTGAAGATGATTATTTTCCTCGTCATCACTAAATCATCTTGCTCATCTTTTCGTTAAGTGATGTTAACACAAAAATATATTCGAAAACTCCGTTTTGTGATATTTTACACAGATATTAAATGAATATATAAATTTAGTTTCCCCACTTCTTGAAATATCTTCTAAAACACGAACGAGGCATGTTCTCAAGAGAAAGTTGCCATCTACTCAACACAGAACACTGTAGACATAGTAACGTATTAATAAATGCATTCTTATTGTGTAAGTTATGAAGTGAATTACATTAAAATATTAAATTGGTTTTGGTAGAAATTTCGTAACCGTGAACCTGCTTGCATTCGTCATCCCAAAGCCCATCCCGAAATTATTAGAAATCTTTTCGCAGATATAACAAATGAAATTCGAAAACCTTTTTGTGCGACATTAAACAGATAGCAAGCGTGATGAATTCCATTTCACTCGTTCTTTCAAATAAATCTCTTTTAAAAACAGAGCCGGCCGCATCCGAAGTGAGGCTCGCCGCCCACGCCCTCGCGCGCTTTCCGTGAGTCCACAAACACGCGGCGGCCCGCGCGGCGGCGGGCGCGCGGCCAAGGCGCGACGGGACGATCTGTTCACGGGCTGTTCAGGCTCGTCAGCCCCAGGGTCGCGGAGAGTTCGTACGCACATGCGGAGGATTCTTTCAAACGTAAATAAAACGAACAACCCTTCATAAATAGCATGTCATCTTTAAGAACAGAATGGCATCTATAGATTTTGAAATCTGTAATCCCACCTCTCTTACTTATACATGCCCAGCCTGGGGTAATACTGTATCATCATCAATAGATAAACTTTGGGTAGCACAAAACGCATGGCTTATAAAAATAATTAAAGGCCCATGCTTTGTACCGAATTGAAAGATTCACAGAGAACTACAAGAAAGTACAAATAAACTCATATTTACGGAGCTACGAACATTTTTTATTATGTTCTCAATTCCTCTTCTTTAATCATTTTTTTTTATTTAGGTCGTATTGCTATGTCGTATGCTCTGGTGGAAAAATCAAATTTTCCTCAAGTTATATTTCGTTTCCCTGTAAATAAACAAAATTATACACAAAATTCACTACACAACATCCACAAACATTACTTTAAATAATATATCTCATTTATATTGAATAAAAATAATTATATTAAAAAATCCAATTTATTATACTCGATGGAGATCTCAGTACGTTAGAGATGCCAAATCCTAAAAAATGATTTACAAAAATTGTTCAATCAAATCAAAAAAAATAATTAAGGCAATAGGGCCGAAAAAGAAAATTATATGAAAGAAAAAGGAATCTCTTTCAAATGCACCACAGCGAATCGCGAAATGTAAGCACAGTTATCTGCTTTACGTGTGTGGGTATGAAGGAAAGAGTGACGAATGTAAGAAAAAGTTTGAATATTATTTCGTGTTTGTAACAGCCACAGGTAATTTATCGTCAGGTATGTACGTAATATTATATTAACATTTGAATTTATAATCCACAATAACTAAATAACATATCTTACAATAAAACAATAAATAATTCATAAGTTTGCATAAAAAGCTACCGACCATGATGGAATTAGCGTTACAATTAATTAATATATTCATTTATTCGTTTAGTACGTGCTTAGGGGGAAAAATACTTTGTAATTGTGTACTTGAGACAGATCTTCAAATTGTATATCCATACATTTGCAGAATTTACAAGGGTTCTTTAACACGTAATATTAATATAATGTTTTTCAAAGACGTGATTCGATCCTTCCGTAATGCAGTAACAATTTAAATTTATGTCATAAAAACGAGCACAATCCCATAACAAAATTAAATAATTTATCTCTCCTGTGAATTTGCTTTACATCGCTATAATGTAAAAGTCGTAACTAAATGAATAAACTTGGTGTCAATGTTTTTCTCGTTTTTCGCTCATGAAGAGAGACACTGCTTAACGGTAGGGGAATAATTCTAAGCTTCCGGATTTTCACCTCTCAAATGCTCATCGTCATTATCTGCGAACATCGCCAGACAGCCTCTTCCCCACGAAATCAGCCTGTGAGATCAGCCGCTTGCTTCGTGTGTCTCACGCTGACAAAGTGGACCTCATTTTATCAACCTGCAAAGTATCTAAAAATCCTTTATGCAAGTGACAATCAACAGATTTTCGACAAGTTTCTACTTTCTTTTCATTTTTTCTAAAGTATCTTAGTAATTTAATTTTCGCTTGACGGCAATCAATAATTGTGTCAATGCAGTCATTAATTCCTAAAATGTTAGTCATGAATATCCTAACTTAAAGCATAATTGATAGAGCTATAAGTATTGAAGATAAATGGAACTTGAAAACAACACAAAATTATGACATTTCAAAGAAGATGAAATTCATTTGAAGGCTCCTGGACAAATTAATAAAGGGGATAATCACATTAAAGAAATATTTGTACCTTTCATTACATCTGCAGTTAAACTCGCGTGATTTTGAAGACGTATCGAAAATTGAATCACCAATATTCCACCTATTTTAAAGCCGTTACCTGTGAAGTTCTCAAGCCCCTTTCACCATTAATACGAAACTAGGCGAAACAGACTCTTTCTGCAGAACCCTTCGCTTTTGCTTCATCTTCTTAATGCCGACCTACTTATTTTCCTAGGGAAAATACTCTCATCTAACTGGAAGAGGAATTGTAATCTGCAGATTTTTATCAACTTAGTAACATGATCCTTAGGACCATTAGCGCTGCTGACACACAAAAGAAACTAAACGGATGTGCTTCCATCTCGTGATAGGCCTTGGGAGAACAGAACGGTGGAGATGGCCGTAGATACGATCGCAATCTGGTTCACAGATGTAGGAGGCTTTTTCTGGAATATCTGATGGGAAAGAATTGTCTGGTAATTGGTGAGAGAGAAATAGAAGAAATGTGTTATCTTCACTTTCAAAAACTACAACAGCAAACCGGCGGTATTTGCAAAGGCGATAAACAGACATCGATCCACAGTTCTGATTGCATGACAATACTGTTACAGAAAGAAAAGACGTAACAATACACACTGCAAAAATTTTGACCTATACAAATGTAATACACGATTATTTTAAAGAATTTACTAAATGTATTTATGAAAAAATCTGAATGTTTAAATAATTTAACAAAAATAGCTTTAATTAGGTCTTATTTACAGAGAAATGTATTTAATAACTTCCTTTGATCATCCTTTTTAATATTAAACATGTATATAGAAAACAGTTTACACTTACGATACACATTTAGGAACATGTCTAATCAACGTTTGAATTTGACTTGTTCCGATACATTTGCTAATTTATTTGGTATGAGATCTCTCCCGCGTATCATGTCACGTGACATTTTCTACCCGACGATTTGAAGACATACTCAACAAGATGCAAGAGTCTGTGAATGCGTATTTCCTATTTTCTCCGCTCGTCAGGGTACCTTGTTTATTTGCATACTGTCTCCGAGCTTTGGCGTGTGCCTCTATTGCTGGTAACAACTTGCTTTCGACGCTGGTGACGGAACTTGCTCTTAAATCCGTTATAAGAACCTGGCCAGACTACATAGTAGGTAGGTAGATGAATTCAACCTACATTGTAGGTTGAATTCAACCACCGTCAACCTACATTGAAGGTTGAATTCAACCACCGGCACCGTTTGCTAGTATTTCGTAGTTTGTACGAGGTAAATGCTGGATCACTACATTAACAAATTAGCAACTGATTGCGCGTTATCTTTTCTTCCTCAATCTTGCTCCTCCCCCTCTCCTTACACACACACACACACACACATACACACACACTTGTACATATATTTCCAAGTATTTCACTTCCGTACTTGTCAGGAAACCAATCAGGAGCTTACAGTTTGTCCCGGCTGGGGAGGTTCCCGCTGCGGAGTTACCAGGAGGGAGAAATTTCCCGCTGGTCAACTGTAGGCCAGCATCAGATTTTACGTTCCAGCAGGAGAGATTACTACCATCCCCGGGATATAACATATACACACTTACGGAATTAACGCCCTTTGTTGCTGACCCATCCAGAAACACTAAATACACACTCATTCACTCTAACGGCCAGTTCTTTGAGCTGAGATAAGACGTGGCAGATTTCAGTGCGAAAGCTGCTCTTCCTTCCGCTGAGCGAGTGTTTTGCGTGTGCTGCAGGCGCACGCTGGTGGTGCAGGAGCAGCGCTACCGCGAGCAGCTGCAGGAGCTGCAGGCGCTGGCCGCGGCGCGCGAGAGCGAGAGCAGCGAGCTGCGAGACCGCGCCTCGACGCTGCAGGCGGACGTCGAAGACAAGGCCTCCACCATGCTCCGTGAGTACCTTCCGCAGGGTCTGTTAAAAATATGGATTTTACTTTAATTTCATTGTCATACTTAGATTCATACTCCATGTGTATCCACCAACCCTCCCACCCATCCGTTTATCGTGAAACTAGTGTCAATTATACAGTAGGACTTTACTCTAAGTTGATTGTCATACTCGTCGATTTTACTGCAGTTTCATATTATTGGAATATTTCCGTATTTTTTCCGTATTACTGTTTTTCCTTATAATTATACACAACAAAAACTTACCACCTATTTCATACAGAAATTAACACTAATACAATATGTAGTTGTTTACAACGAAGTTATTTATAATAAAAATGAACAGCAGATTGCATTGTCACCCATCCGTACATTCCGTGGCATTCTTATCACAAATATAATTAATAGCAATTAACATTACAACACCAGCATAGCATATTAGGGGAATTTGGTAACAGTTCAATTATTTTTCGGATATCTCAGAGGCTCTTTCAAAACCAAATTTGGTTTGCCAGCCTAAGTTGCTGGCGCTTGAATAAGGAAGGAAGCGAATGACTAGCCCACGTTGTAATGATAAATGGTTTCTGAGGGGGCTGCGCGCGTGGGCAACCGCAGGTAATCCCCCAATTCTGCGAGACGCCTCTCTCCGCCTCCCACGGGCCCACCTCTGAGTCACCTCCCAGCTTCCTTCTTAGACCGCTCCCGCCGCTGTGCTAGGAGCGGCCTGCCAGAAATGTCGTCGTCTCCCTTCCTCGAACGAGATTCGATTCATACAATGCTCTCATGGAGCATCGTTCACCGTTTTCCTGAACTCCGATGCGTCGGACGAAAAGACGTTGGCCTAGAGACCGATGAACTGAACCGATGGGCCTCTCGATTAAGTGGCTCATTTATTGTTTGCCAATCTTTAGGTAATATTATGAATTTTGAAAGACATGGACATTTCTTCATGCTTTCTATTTATTCATGAAAAGAACAGGAATATGCACGTGTCAATAAATTAATTATGTGTTCTTTTTTCTGAAAAACAAATTTGTGTAAATATATTATATGTTAATTTCAAATAATAAAATTCTTCACAGGGTTTATTAAAATTTACTTTGATAATTATCATTGCTTTAAAAATTGCTGCTTACAACTGTTTTTACTTTTTCGTATACGCACGCATTTACGAAGTAAAACGGCGGATATTCCTCAGGAAAAATCTTTGCCGGGCCCTGATAACGAAATAGTGGAAAAATCCATATGCTAAATTAAGCAAAAGTCTGTCCGTCCGTCCGTCCGTCCGTCCGTCCGTCCGTCCGTCTGGCTGTCCACCTGTCTGTCTGCAAACACCACTAGCCACATTTATAGAAGGTTTTCCAAACTAAAGAAACTCATGTCCCTCTGGCTAGAGTCGAAGACTTGGGATTTTGAAAAACAATCTTTAAAATTTGGGAGTACATTACATAAAGTTCCTGGGACAATTACAAAATTTTCTCGAAAAGGCTCCAATTTTTTTCTTAAATTTCTTGTAAGAATAGAGTAAAATAAACTTATAAAGGTGGTATAGGTCTGATTTTCACAGTTAACTCTAAATTTCAGAAAAATGCTAAAATTCGGATTTCTTTCGGCGTCTTCCCACTACTACAAAATTAAAGATATATATTTTTCCTTCAATTGAAATTTGCTGCCCATAATTAGTTCTTCCATTACTGTCATGGACATTTTTTGAAAATTTTAGTCGTTTTCTTACAATATTGCGTGAAATACGTGCAATTTAAAAATAATAAAAACAAGATTTTTTCAAAAATGGCTCAAAATTTTTCTGTAATCTTTTGGTAGATATAGTACTAAATGTACACTAAAAGATGACATAAACGCCATTGATCTCCATTCTTTAATTTTTTCAAAAATCATAAAAATGTAATTTAATTCACTAGTCTCTCACGTCGTTAATATATACATTACCGACCATTTCTTCACAGTACATTTATGAGTACATGTGCTTTAAATGGTGTCATATAAAGTTTCTGGGAAACTCGTCAGTTTTCTATGAAAATTAGTTCATATTTCCGCATTTTCAGAAACGCTGAAACGCCATTTTCCCCAAAACGGCTCCATTCTTTCTTCTTCAAACATTGCGAATGAATAATGCTAATAGCACTGTTTAAGGTGACATAAAATTACTTTTAATTAATTCTTTAGATTTTTAAAAAATGCACTAATGTATTTTTTAACAATCTCTCACGCAGCTAATATGCACATTTCCAGTAATTTGTATACATTATTGCATTTGTGATTGGAAATACTTTTAATTACTTCAAATGAAATATTTTGTAAACTCAATATATTTCTGTGAAAAAGAGCTTAAAAATTCACATTTACAGTAACACTTTAACACCATTTTTTGTAAAACGGCTCCATTTTTTTCAATGAAAATTGCCATTTAGGACGAGGTTTTAATCTTCTTTAATAATCTTAAAGTAATGTTTTGGGTGTTCTGTTAGGAAACAGAAAATGGAGAAAATATCAACAAAAAATATACTTTGTATGTACACAGCAATAGATGCCAGTTGGCGAGAGGATGGGCAAGACCGTAAAGCCTGTCCACACCACAGAAATTAGAAACGTTTACTACTACGAGAAAGTCTGTGCCTTTCTGTAGCACCACTAGTTTTTGTTTTTTCGCTTGTCCAAAACATATTCTTCAAAGAAAAAAAATTTCAACGGATGAATTGGCGCGTGGCAGATATAAAATGTATTCCATATACGAAGGTTTGAATGATTCGAATTGTTGGAATAAAAGTACCGAAAAATACAATTTTATGGCTTACCTTCAAATTATTTCCTATGTTTGATTCCGTTCTTTTTGCGGTGTAATGTAAATAAACCTTTGACAATGCCATGACACTGATAATGATTATTAATACTAGTATTAATTGAATGTTATAGAAAGAGGTTTTGTTAAACGCAAAGTATCGAGACACTCATGTAAATTTGGTATAATTTTGCGCTGAAAATGTCTATATATTTGTTCAATAACTAATTTCTAGCATGAACACTTTGTGCTCAAGGCCTTGGTTTTTTGGATGTTTTCAGGCGTACAAGTTCACAAACCCCCCAATATAATGATAATAATTCCTCTAAAACATAGAAACAATTTCATAATAATCACCAATCTTACGATTAATGCCAGTATTTAATATGAATGTATTAGGTCGAAGTGTCTACAAGAATTCACGAAACACGTCATCACAAGTCATGAAATTTGACACCGTTAGAAACAGATTAGTTGTATACAAAGACAGACAGACTGATTCTACACTCTTGCTTACTAGTAATTTCATAGTAAGAGAAGTATAGAGTATAGAAAGTATTGTAAGGTCGTCTACATTTTTTTGGAAATATGAGTAGTTTTTGCGTAATTTGTGCATGAGTGAAGGCAATTTATTCAAAACTCTTAGGAGACAATACAACACGGAAATACTACTCGGTATAGGATGTCCTTTAGAAAGTGATTTCATCGAGTTTTCCCTAGCCTGAGGGAAAATACTGTGATTACTTCTGGTTAATATGTTTAGCCCCGTGACACACAATTTACACAGTATATAATAATAATAATAATAATAATAATAATAATAATAATAATAATAATATACCCGAAAATTGATTCCATTAAAAAACGTCAGCCACGCGATGTATTTCATTTTCAAATCAGCATCTGATTGTATTATTTAGCATCGTCAAATTAACCCATGTCATAGCTTCTTCTCGATCATTGACACAGAAGAAACATTTTTAACTCGTGATACAGGAATGTTTTTAAGAACCCACCTCACCTTTTCAACAAATAAAAGTAAATAATTTTCACGAGTCGAAACAGACTTAAAAGCTAGTTCACACATCTTTTGATCTGCGATAAACACAGCTCGAACTGCGATAAACGGTAGAAAGTGGAACAGACAATAAACTCACTGTGTGACACGAAGGGAAACAAAAATATTTTCTGACGGCTAGCAGACTTGCCTATAATAAGAGACGGTGACAACAGGGCCGGATGGAGACCGTACATTACCCAGGTCAGACTCCAGTAGATGGAATTGCCACGAAGAAAATATTTATAATACATGCCAATTTACATGAAACGTGCTATCATCTTTCATCCGACTATAACCGCAAATAAAAATTATCGCTTTTTTGCCTTTTAATTGGTTTGCAAGTTTCATGCACCATCTCAGTTGTTTTTGATTTAACATCGATTTCCCCTGCAACTTGCCGAATTCAGTCACCAGCGCTCCGTTTTAAGTTGGAGTGCCGTTTACTGTTCCCAGTCTATGACACAAATGTTTCCGCCCATTCATGCCACAGGATTAGAAAAGTGCACGCCCACATGCACAATTTAAATATTTTACTTTATCAAGAGAAACGATCCTTGTCATCGAACACCTCCGTCGACACAAAAACAAAACACGCGCTTCCTTCCCTTCTCAATCGCGTTGTCTGTTCCAGTTGGACCGATATAGAACAGCTAGTAGTGTGGCAACACGAATGAGCGCTGCCGTTGTTCTTTATAAAAGAGAGGGCGTTGCGTAGAAAAAAGTTTAGCTTGAAGAGGTACTACACTGACATTCGTAAGTAGAAGTCCAGGAGCTGTATTATAAAGTACTAAGATAAATTGGAATTTTGCAAAGGATTGAGTCAAACAGCATGCAATTGCAAGGAAGCAAGTAAAACTGTGTGAATGGGAAGTGAATCAGTGAATGATTTTGAGGAAAGAATGAATTAATGAGAAGCATCATATTGTAAAATAACAATGGCGTTTAGGTAATACACATTAACGACATCGTTCACTAGGAAAAATTCACAGGAGCGCGAGAGATAAACATTTTACTATACCTACATATGAGGTCTGGACACTATCTATTTGCTATTTACGCCATGTGTACTCTATCAAGGATTATACCTCTTAAGTTAAACAATTTACTTGATAAAATACCATTTAACATAAATATAAAGAATCAAAACAAATTAGCGATACTTCTTTTATCTGAACATTACTGGGTATCCCGTACATGGTTAAGTTTCACACACTATTATTTCTTACTCATTCGGATTGCCAGGGCAGTTCCCAATTTGATTACGGTATAAAACATTTGAAATCTCCTTGCGCGATGTTGGGGGTGTTCCAAACAAAAAATAACATTCACGTTTGTATAGCAGCAAATCACCTTTAGAATCTGGAGTCTGTCAACAAGAACATTTCAATTCAGCTGGTAGTTGTTGGTGTAAATGTGTGTATTATTAACTTAGATATCGAGACGTGTCATTGAAAACTACTTAATAGACCACATCTGCCTGGTGAATTATTCTCTTATGTACGTATTTCAATCAAACGCTATGTGAATAGTATTTCAATTTTAAAATTATTAAAATCGATAATTAAAAGAGAGTGTTCTATATATATTTAAAGCCGGCACTGAGCACAAGATCGAGGAAATCGAAAACTAATAGCCGCTGGCTGCTCTGATTTCTAGTTTTCCGATCTCCGATCAATAAGAACTGAATGACGGAGCAGTATCCTAAAAAATGGGTCACAGGCCACGCGCGATATTGCCTTACTCTTCCTTGTGCTATCCCCACATCTTCCTTGCACGCAGGCCTATAAATTGTTATATGCACTACACTACCACACGTATCACGAGACCAGTCGGGAGCTTGGAGCCTCTCCCGGCTAGGGCGATGCCCCGATGATGGGTGATACCTGGATGGGGAAACCCTCACGAGACAACGTGTAGGTGGTCATCCATCGAGGTGAGATCACCGCCAAATCCCGTGATAAAAACATACAGTTACGGCACTTAAGGGACTTGACTTGAAGAGAATGACCTTAGCAGTTGACACGAACGGAATCATCAATCTACCCTAGTTTATAGGATTGCGATTGTATAATAAGTAAAGCGTACTTGAAATAAGAAGTGGTAGCAAGTGTGTGCGTGTGCGCAGGGCTGCAGTCGGAGCTGGAGCTGGCCAACAAGCAGTCGGAGCTACTGCGCCAGAAGCTGCGCCAGATGGAGGAGGACATCGCGGGCTTCAAGCGGTACAACGCGCAGCTGGCGGCGGAGCTGGCCGCCAAGGCGGAGGACGAGACGTCGGAGAGCGAGGCGGAGGAGGTGCTGCAGCGCCGGCGCAAGGAGGAGCAGATGGAGGAGCAGCTGCAGCGGCTGCGCGAGCGCGCGGCCGAGCGCGACGCCCGCGCGCAGCAGCTGGCCGGTGACGCGGCGCGCCTCGAGGCTGAACTGGCGGCGGCGCGCGCCGAGCGCGACAGCCTGGACGCGCAGCGCCGACAGATGCTGCAGGAGCGACAGGAGGAGATGCAGATCGTGCAGAAGGCCCTGGAGGAGGCGCAGGCCGAGAGCGCGGCCGCCAAGCGCCGCTTCGACCAGGACTTCGAGCGCCTGCGCACCGTCAACACGGCGCGCGAGCAGCAGCTGCTCGAGGACTTCGAGTGGAAACTGCGCGAGGTGCAGCAGACGTGCAAGCGACGCCTGCAGGAATCGGTACGCGACCCGCCTGGCGCTGGCGCTGGGATTGCGCGGGGAACGACATGGTGGTCGTAGTCATTCCAAGACCCGGCGACAGCCGCGTCCTCGACGACCGGAACCGCAGCTCGAACATGGGCTTGCGCTGTGTCGGCCGCCGTAAGCCGTAGTCGTGCGCCCGCTCCATTGCCTAGGGATGGTTGGGGAGCTCCCAGACGACGGTGAACTACCACAATGCCCGGAATCTCAGCGCGGTCGTCGGGTCTCCTCAATTGAGGTCGCGCGAGATATCTGTGCACTCGACGATCGTTCGCGACCCACACACTCGAAAATGGAGATACTGACTATGCGCAGTCTACGAATACATTTACTAATACGATCGCTGTTTAGAAAACATCGGGTACCGTAATTTGAGCTGAGGATTCTAAACCTCCAGATGTTTGTATTGGGTGAATTAGTAGTTTGTTTCATTTGTTTTCTTACGTGATTTCTGATAAGAAACGTGAATGTATTATTTTGTGTTGGGCGGCCTGATGAAAAGCTAGGAGATCCATTTTTTGAGATGGCATCCAGCGCCAGTTGTCGCCGTCTTCCTCCTCTGTGATGTCGGCAGAGTGCACATATTCCTTGCGCGAAGTCTACTGAATATATGGCGAGAAATGTCGATATCAGACGATGTAGTTAGTAAATTGTACGCTAATAAAGTAGGGAATGGGAATATTGGGAGGAGGAAAGGGAGAATCTCGAGAATAGCTCCAGAAAACTCGCCGGATTCCCACAAATTCCACACGAAGTGACCAGGATCCCAATCCCAACTCGACAATCCCAACCCCAAAGTAGAAAATTAACGCGCTTGCTGTTGAATTATGTGGAGGCCATGTCCCCTTCGATTTTAAGACAATAGATTCCCGGCGATGCTTATTTGATGTGCCACAAACTTGGATATGGAGTGTCTGTGAAGAGATGGAAATGAGAATAAACCAATGTGCCCCCGGCCAGAAACTGCTGTGATAGTAGGAATCTATGAAACATGTCTCTCGGTTAGTGATATGCCAATGATGTGGCGTAAAAGTGAAATTTTGTTGTGTGAGCAGTGTGTTTCGAGATCTAAATTCACGACCCCAGCAGGCATTCGTGAAGCATTGCCGATGTGCCCATAGAATGATTGTGGTGAGGTGATGGTATGCCATAATGTCGCAGTGGTATGTTGTGGATGTGAAATTGGTTAATATGAAATACGGGAGTCATATGTCTGTTGTGAAGTGTCGTGAAAACAAGTGTCACATACGTGCTCAATGTTCAAACGTATTTTGGTGCATTGTGTTACCTACTTTATTGTGGAGACCAAGTTCCTGACCATTAAAGATATAGGACACCCAAGTAAGCGTGAGAAGCAAGAGTGGTTAGGTTTTTTTTAGACAGTGAGTCAATAAAATTATTATGCTATGACAATAGCGAAGAGTTATTCATGTTGCTGACTTTTAATGGTATTTCATTACCGTGTACATATGAGTGATCTATTTGAGTGTCAGCCTGTTTGTGATCTGTGAAAGTTTCCAATAAATAATAGGCGTGGTGCATGGTATTAGTGTTAAGAAATGAACTGAATTTTGATAGGATGGTTAGAGAGGTACGAGACAATTGGAATATTTGATGAACGCCAGCTACTTGTTAGTTTTGAGGCGAAGTAGAGAGTTTAAGTATCAGTTCGAGTGAATTTTTGATATTGTATTGGAATATAAGTATAATATAGCAGAGAATAGGTGCAGGTCGGTACCTTCCTACTAGATATGAATTATAATTACAATAAAACCTGATGGATATGACATAACATCTAAATAAAGGAAACTTGTCATGTAGGATAAAAATCACAGAATGAAACGTTTTATTTGTGAAAATGACCTCTAAATACCGGAAAGCTGTCTAACGCAAGAACAGAATAGTTTTTAGCGAACTGGAAATGATTGTACCGTGGGTATTAAGGAAATATATTTTAGAATATCTGGCCTCATCCTCGAGAAATCAAAGGCTGGAAAATTAATGTTCGCCATTGGTTGGATTAATTCTGTCCACTGACAGAACAACAGATCTTTAAATTTCTCCTCCTTACCTCAATTAGTCAATACTTTTCCCAAGCATCTAACCCAAATTTTCGCCACCTAAATTTTCGCATTGAGCGGCAAAACCTGACAACCAGAAGAAAAAATACTTTAAGGAACAATCGTGTTTCATGTTCCATCATAGACAGGTTTTTACTCTTATAAACGTAAACATCCGCGGCTCGAGTGACGCCGTGTCGCAGTGAAGAACGGCGGACAGCGAAGAAGTAGGTTTTATTGTTGTAACACAGTATATCCGATAATCGAGTATCGGATGCGATATACTTGTTAGTTCACGCCAAATGCATGGGGGCATAGTTAAGACGGACTTAGCGCTGACTAGAGGACACACTCACCGTGTGCACCGATTCCATTACATGAAAGCGTAGATTTCTGAAACGAAGTGTTGTAATGTGTGATGTGTTCGTAGATTTAAAAACAAATTCTATGTTAGCAGATTTCTCGGTATTTAAGGGATATAAACTTTTGTTTAAACAAATGATTGGGAGCGCCTGTCCTGCGAGGGCGGGGCCCTAAGCGCGTGCTTAGTTTGATGACGCGGCAAGGCAGGATAGTATGCATAATAAATGGAATGTGTAGTAGAAGGGTGGGGAAGATATTCGGGAGCTCAAGAAAAAGTGAGAAAATTATACTTCTCTCCCATAAGCAAAATAAACTAGAGATCCAAGCCTTATTTCAAACAAAAGATTCCCCCTCCCCATATCCATTTTAAAGTTAATTATACTTCACATACAGATATATAAATATTATTTTCCTTCAAAAACTATTGAAGAAAAGAAACTTTGCCTACATTTTCAGAATTGTATTTTAAACCATATTCTAAATAGTTTATTATAAATTATGATAAAATATAAATACAATATTGCGAGTTATGTTGGAGTTAATGCTTAAATCTTCTTCTGAGCTTCATTAACGCTTAGTTTGAATTAGTATAAATAAATATTTTTTAAATATTTTGAACGGAAAACACTTCGGGACCCCAATGAAGTCGAGGCCTGGGTCAAGATGCCTCAACTGCCCCCTCCCTGGGTGCCCCTGCCCATAGATCACATAGTTCGTTCATTTTTTCTGTAATTTTTGTTATGGTTTGTCTTTTGTTAGCTCGTTGTTTTTAACGAAAGCAAATGATGGCAGGAGCGCGCGGCGGAGCAGCGCGTGGCGGCGGCGCGGCAGGAGCTGGAGCAGCGGCTGTCGGCGGCGGAGCGGCGCGTGGCCGACCTGTACGACACGCAGCGCGCGCTGCGCACGGCCACGCGCGACATCGAGCGCGCGCACGAGGGCGAGCTCAAGCTCAAGGAGGAGATCACGCGCCTCAAGGCGCTCGTCGAGACCGAGCGCAACTTCGCCGCCACCATCCAGGTCAGGACACATCGACAGCGAGTGCAACTGTTGATCACTAACTGCAGTTGTAACTAATAACAACCACACATCTCAAAACCAAAACTATGAGCTAGGGAGTGCAACTATAGATCATTAACTACAGTTGTAACGAACTACAGTTGTAACTAATTACAGTTGTAACGAATTACAGTTGTAACGCACTCCAGTTGTAACGCACTCCAGTTGTAACGCACTCCAGTTGTAACGCACTCCAGTTGTATCGAACTACACAATTTCATTACGCACAAATTTAATGCTAGAGGTGAATAAACCAACTTTGAAACATGGGTGTTTTTTGGTCGGTGTATTATCTACATCGATGGTTCGTACAATCATTGTTTGGTGAGATCGATAGTTTCTTATCGATGACGTACTATCATGAATATTTACTCGATACCATTCCATGACACACGGATCTTACGGGCGGTTTCTGTGTGCAGAGGAACTACGATCGCCAGGTGACGGACGCCGAGCGCAAGTTGGAGGCGCGAGTGCAGGAGGTGCGAGACGAGCTCACGCAGCAGGTGAGTACGCGCACATGCACAGAAGGTGGTCTTAGGGAGGCGTGTCAACAAGCCACTTAACCGCCTGGGAGGCCCGACGCTCCTTCGTGCTCGCCGGGCCACTTTCCCTGACTCCGCTCTATTTCCCCTCCAAATCTAGAAAGGGTTGTACACGCCGAATATGTAGTACGGAAGCTAAGTTGAAAGCGCATTAAAAATATCACGACGAATAGTTGCTTCATTCGAAAATGTGTTTTCGGGATGTTTTCCATTAATCATCCGAGATTTGAATTAGATTTATAATAGAATTAATTACTTACTACTTTATTTAATCTTTATTTTCTTTTTTAAAATTTACCTTGCGCTACCATTTTGGTCCAGACATCAATATGTTTGAATGGGAAATTCTTTGCCTCTTTTCGTTTTGAATTATGTTTCATTAAATGATTGTTAATGATTGAGCAAAGAAATTAAATAATCTCTATGCAGTTTATCTCTTCTAGTAAAACCTCCTTTCAGACTTATATCACTCAACTTTTCTGAAAAATTGACAATTTTTTTTCTTCCTATCGCACAAAAATTGATCTATCTACATCTAGAACACATGTAAATGAAAAGCATATCAAATTGTTAACACTCTAAGATTGATAGTCTGAGAAGAATAGCATTACTAGAATAGCAATGATTATTTCCGAACCCTGTGATAATGACGGCCCAGTGATTGAAATTATTAAAATGCCATGTGCAGTAAAAATACCATGTGCAGTGTTATTAAAATATCACGTGAAGTTAATGCACCGGACAAGAGTAACAGTTAAAAATATTGTACAGATGTCTCAGAAAAAATTTTTATACATTTCTAGTGTCTGTACAGGAGGGGGGATCATGTGTTGCGGTTTGACAGGTCACATTCTGACAGTCGAGGAGAACCCGCCAAACGATAAAGTATGAAAGGTTGCCTATCAATCAGGGGCAAAGGTACAACTTCGTTGTATTAAAATTCTCACTTCTTGTTCGTTTGCAAGAACTTATTGTCTTGAACCCAATACATGTCTTCGAAGTTTGAAACTTTAATTCTACGTTTCCTGTTCAAAAGGGTGTATTTGAATATTAAGACAGTGTTTTCGAATTTGCTTATAAATATCATTGTAGGGCATCTTTTACTATAATATTATCGACCTTTAAGTCAACAAATCCAGCGACCTGCTTGAAATTGTAAATTCTGTGCACGTTTTGTTCAGTTCTTCTTTTGCTAGATACGATAGAACCATATCCAGGCTTATGGGTTGATATTTTGTTTGCAATACTAAAAAAAGAAAAATGTAGTTCGTTTGCCGGTGCACAAAGGTTTTCTCGAGAGCGCAAATGTATAGTTTCCCATTATTGCTAATTTTGCTGTATGGGCACTTTTATCCATCATTCAATGTAAAGTGAAAGAGTGGAGGAAATATTTTAATGCTCAAGAAAAGATACGAAGATTATACTTCCCCATACGTCACATGCAGATTTTACTGTTCTTTATCGAAAATAAATGAAATCTCCAAAATCCAACCGGCTGAGGTGGCTCAAGGCGTCATTTCTGACTGAAAGGTCCTGAAGTTCGAATATCGATGGTGGCAGGATCTTTTAGGCAGCCAGTGAAGAATTCTAGCAGTCAGCTGGTCTGATCGGTGGTTTTCCATAGTTTCTCCGATCAACACAAGGTGAATGTCGGGAAGTACCCTAACAAACGAGCCACGAACCGCGAGCGAACTTTTCTTCCTCTTTCTTGTATTACCTTCACCATTAACATATTCACACTCCCACACATGTCGGAAGACCGGTCGGGAACTTGGAGCGTGTCCCGGCTGGGTCGATGCCGCGCTAGTGGGAGATACCTGATTGGGGAAAACCTCGCAAGCCGACGTGTAGGTCGGCATCGGTTCTCGCCATCCAGCGGGGGAAGAAAACCGCCACCTCCCGTGTTAAAACAAGCATTACACTTACGGGACTCAGGACCACAGCAGTTGACGCGCCCGGAAGGTAACCCACCAAACGTAACGCGCATGCTTTTGGCGCGTGCGCAGTGGGAGGACAAGGTGCGCGGCGAATGCGCGCGCCTGCGCGGAGAGCTGCAGCAGCTGCACGCCGAGGAGATCGCGCTGGCGGTGCGCGCGGCGCGCGAGGAGCGCGACGCCGGTCACCAGGCGGCGCTGGCGCAGCTGGAGCGCCGCCTACAGAACGCGCTCAACGAGGTGAGTGAGGAGGACACCAACGCGCTAGAATATATACTACATACAGTGGCTGAAGCGCTGCACTCCCTACAGCAAACTGAAGCCATTTTTTGCAGTCAAAGCAGCGCTCTCTGGGCAATTATACAATATAATAATTTTGTAGTATTTTAATTTTATGAAATATAAATCGATTTCTGCGGTAGAAATCAGTACTAGTAAAGAAATTACTTGAGAAATGTTATATTTGTGGTTTGATTACTTCTATTTTTAGTTATATGTCGAACACATAGGCGTTGGGAATGTAATTATTTAAACCACTAATATAATTTAAATACAATTATCCGAAAAATGCAACAATATAGAAATCAGATCTGATACGAAGAACTCGATTCAGTACAACAGCACGACACCACCAGACCACCACTTCTGTTTTGACTGCAAAAAACACGGCGGCCCCTAGTTCTGCGGACGTCCAGCAAGAGAGCTGAAATCATAGGGTCAGCTACTCTATATATTATATTTTAACTTGTTGAAGGACACCAAAAAGCGGCGGCTCGCGTTACTTCTAGTAGATATTGGCGTAAATAATTAGATCATCCTCTAGACCTCGTTAAATAAACCTACCAAGATAGAAATGCAGTTTGTGGCACGATTCGCTCACGCGGGCTGTCGATTCCTAGAATGAGTCACTCGCGGCGCGGCCACAGTGTTGCCCGCGGAAAGCGAGGCTTCGCTTCGCAGGTCCAACTTGAGCACGAGTTGACATGAAACATCCTTGAATCCGTCCAACGCATGTTATACGAATCACCTTGAAAATCATTTGGCGTGTATATTTTCTCAATGTTTACTCAGAAAGCCTCCATGTTCTTAACTTCCGTTTGCCCCACAAGTTTTCTCCTCCGCATATACTCGCGCGAGAACGAATTGAATGCATCCGTGCACGTGAACTATTCGTATCCCAAACTACATTTTAACCCCTACCAAATACCTAGAAGTACTCGATTCCCGTCTGTCATGGAAGCCACATTTATACTAAATAAAACCTATAAAACCCAGTCCAATTATATTTGCGAATAAACAGAAAAGCCTCCTCAATCCTAACCATAGCCGTATTTTATATAACACTCCCCTTAGGACACTTCTAATATATGCAGATTGCGCCGGTAGCTGAACGTCTAAACAATCTTTGTGAAGTCACGGAAATTAATTTTCGATTTCATCAAGCAGCGCGGTGCTATGCTTGGTAAAATAATTAAAGACGTTGTCATTGCCAAATATATTATTTAATGCAATAGCAGCTTTCGATGGCTTAGCCATCATCATCAGTTGTCTGCTGGATGGAAGCCACAAAAACGACTCAACGCTGTGCTTGGAGCCAGCAGCGCCCAGCGGCGCGGCAGAGTCAAAAAGAACTTCTTTCATGGTGAACGGCGGCAAGAATTATATTTACACCTATTAGTTTTCTATTTAATTACAGTAATTTCTGGAGTGTGATCAGCTGAATACGGTTATCCCATAGGGACCTTCGATACGACTGAAGTTTTGGTATCGAAGCGCCCGGTTGAATAACCGCATTCCAGCTGATCAAACGCCGGAAATCACTATAATCAAATCATGGAATAAAAGTATGTTTTTCTCAAATTTAGTTAGACAAGTATTGCTTAGTCTGACTGATTTCACTGACGGATTGTGCAGGTAACAGCACTGCGCACTCGCATGGCAGAGAAAGAGGCGCAGCACGAGAGAGACCTGGCCGATGCGCAAACGAACGCCGACAGCGCCGCCGTCGAGCTGCGTAGGAAGCTCGATAAACTGGACATGCAGTATCAGGAGCAGATAGAGAAGTTGCAGGAACAACATGAACAACACATAGGTCAGTACCGCTCCCCCTCCCCCTTGTACACACGAGTGGTCATGTATAAAAACTATTTCAGCCCATGCGATACTCAGAAATGTTTTCGAATAGATTGTCAAGTGACCCCTGACTTAGCATTGAAGGTTATCCTGACATACGTAGATCGTTTCAAGTAATATTACGTTAAGAAATTTTAACATACTGTCATTTCAATTTGAAAAAAACTGTATTCTTGTTTGCAATGGGTTGTCCTAAATCCGTCCATTGCACAAAATGTAAACGATTTGCATAAATGAACTTTCTTACGCGTAGAACATGTCTTTCGTTGGAAGGCATTATTTGAAGTTTTCTCATGACAGATAAAATGCCTTCACAGATGATGACCAGTCTATTTTCATATCCAACAAACGTTTCTACATAAAGACTTGTATTGTTATTAATAACGTCTCATGTACACATTTACATTAAATTTTTTCGCAAAAAACTAGTCAAATGCGTTGATTAACGATTCAAGGGAAAGAAGTATTTTTTATTGATTCTATTGATTATTCTTTTCCAATTACCTAACGAGTATTTTCGATACTCATGGTTACTACGATTGGTGAATATTCTATTTTTAATTTCTAATTAATTGAGATAAAAATGGGCAACAATCACTTCTGTAAGGTGTGTTATGATCTTTCAGAAAGAAAGAATTATTGAAATGGAATAATAGGTGAGATAAATAAAGACGATCAAAGGGTCTGGCGTGCCCATTATCTTAATTACCCCCTCCCCGAGAACATTGACCGAAACGTTTGGTAACAGGATGCATTTGCATTATATGTCTGAGAGAGAATAAAAAATATTCAATGCACGAAAGGTTTTGCATATGTATGTGCCACTAGGGCCTGATTACGAAAAATGAATACCATAGCAACGCACGAGTTAGAAGTCTCGTGTGGAAAACGACACTGACGCCACACGCAATGCCAATTTAAACTTCTTCCTCTTCCCAAATTAATACTACTTCAACTAATATATTAAATATTGGTTGCAGAAAAACTTACCGAGGAGAATGATCGACGCGTTGCACAAATGGAGCAGACATGGCAGATGCAAGTGACTTCCACACGCACAACTCTCGAGCTGGTCAAAGAGCAGCTCGAGCGAGACGCTCAGGACAGGTTGGAGGCCCTCGAGAGACAGCACCAGCGGAAACTTGGTGAGACCTCCACTGGCGCCGTTGTATTCATCAACCAATTGTAAAATTTTCTCTTTCATATTAAGCTTAATCGAAATTGGTTATCGATACGAAAAAAAGTGGAGGATTCTCATTTCGACCTTTTCGAGCCGGACGTTGTGGATATTCTCCTTTAGAAACTTAACTTTTGTTTACTTTAAAATGATTAAATGAGAGAAAAAGTAAATAAAATATTTGTTTAAATGTTTAATAATAATAAATAATAATAATAATAATAATAATAATAATAATAATAATAATAATAATAATAATAATAATAATAATAATAATAATAATAATAATAATAAAGGAAAAAATATTTTCCTTTACTATTCTCAGACAAGAAGACGTGTCAAAAGATTTTAAGTGTTAATAACAAAGATGCCTGTTGCTAGTAATTGAGAAAATTAGTGGTAGCATTATGATTGATGGTGAGAAAATTACTGGTACCATTATGAATGCCTAGGCTTTCTTATATAGAAATGATAACTTATACTTCAAGATTTAAGTATGTGATTAAAAAATTGCTTCTTGAGGTACAAAAACTAGCAATATCTGAACATGTTTACTTAAATCAGATTTCCTCAGTAAATATTTAGGGCTGCTGGATAGGGGAGAAATTGGACAGGGCTGCCAAAACTGAAAATATAGACCTGACAGACTCAAAATCATCCTTTTAATATTAAATCATTACATTTAATTAAAGTGAACACAAAGTAATAACTTCACCAGTGTCGGCTGGTGCCACCAAAAAATGGGGGTTGCAGCTCCATCAAATGATAAAAATGTAATTTAGATAAATGTATTTTCTAATTCAGATATACTGAAAGTGCCTACTAAAGCTAAATGCAAATTTCTTCTTATGCGATTTCTGGAAACTTCAGCTTTCTTTCATCTTTCTATTATGGCATTTATATCTTTAAAGGATCAAAACACAGTCTTATGCTTTAAACATGATTTCACGCACGTATCGTCACCTTCAAACAATATATAGAGAAAGTAAAGTACTCTCTTCGAATCACACTAATATAACCCTCTGAACTTACCATAAAATCATTCTTGATATTTCACTAAAATTTTGAAAAAAAAAATCATCGACTTTTAAATTTTATTTCTATTGAACGTACTCAACGGAAACCGGCGATAAGTTACTCGGTACTTAATGCTGACAACCTGTAGCGCTTTCTATGTACAGTTGCCGTACTAAAACGCGCGAAGAAATGCGGATTCTTTGTAATATTGATGCATAGGGACGTTCGTGCGGTCGGGAAGATTATACTTCAGAACGCTACCAATACCTCCTGCACCTAATGTTGGAGGCGTTGAATGTTACACGCCTAGAAGAGTGACGGCATAATGGTGCTCTGCATGGCTTGCAACTAGACGCAGAAAAAAGCGTTCGTCGGGCACTCTTTGACTTGAAAATGATTTCGTTCATAGTTAGGCTGTTGCTTCAATATCTTGATTATTGTATGGCATTAAATCGAAAAGATACATTCTAAAGACTTTTAGAATATCTGAAAGCTGTGCTACCCAACCACGAGCCGCCCCTGAACTTAATTTACTCACAGAGTTGTCTCGTTATCTTGGAGAGCACTTCATGAAAGTTGGATCAAACGCGTCTACAGTTCTCAGTTTCTGAATATGTTTACGATTTATTTGATGAAAACATAATCAAAATAAACTTACAAAAACATTAAAATGGATAATCAAAGAACTTTCTATTTACAAAATTGATGTGTAATCACAACAATTAACATTCATAATTATACACATAATTGTTCTCGCTTCCCTTTCATCAATGGAAAGGGTGGCTATTATTCATTTGCAAACTGCTTCTGAAACATTGAAACTTCATGTTACCGTATATAAAATGATTAAATTATTTGAATCTCTACTTAAAAACCCTCATTTTCAATGTGACCCTTCAAAGAAAAAATGTGTATGCGCAGAGGAGCAATGGCAGCAGCTAACCGCTGAGCGAGAACGGGCTCTTGAGGAGGCCCACGATAAACATCACCAACAGTTGGAGCAGTTGCGCAAGGATCTGGAGGAAGCCAGCAAGGATAACCCCGTCAAGGATTTGGAGGTGTGTGCAACTTTTACTTAGTACTATTGCACTTGAGTCTGCCCAAACCACATTCACACTAAAGCTAGTTTCACTGGTGGTCCTTTTAATTCAATTTAATTATCTGGCCAAAGTTTACTAAATGTATATATTATGGCTAATATCATATGGCTAATTCGCGATATTGCTGGTTCATTCGCACATTATCCAAAACGAGAGGTTGATTGATAGTGATTAACCTACTGAAGTTCTTTGTCCCGTAATGGTAGTGCATGTTTAACGCGGGATGGCGGTGATCTTCCCCCGCCAAATGTCGAGTTCTGGCGCCAGCCCACCATCGGCTAGCAGTGTTTCTTAAAACCAGGGAACCCCTATCAAAGGGCACCGTCCCGGCCGGGTCAATCTCTAAGCTCCCATCCGGGCTCTCGGCATGTGTGGTAGTGAAGTGCATGTTACTGTAAGTGGGTGTGTAAGGGGTGAGGGAAAGACAAACAAGAGAAAGGAAAGATAACGCGTGGTTCATAGCTCGTTTGTTAGGGTGTTGCTCCGGCATTCGCGTGATGTTGATAGGAGAAACCACGGAAAACTACCGATCAGAGCAGCCGGCCTCTAGAATTCTCCTTCGGACAGCGACTGAATTCGATCTAGCTGGCAAGCTAGTGTCTTGCTAAAATCTTGCCGCTGACGGGACTCAAACTTAGAACTATCCGGTCAGAGGCATCAGTTGAAGCACTGAGCCACCTTTCCCGATAAAATGAGAGGATAAAGTCCGTAGTAGAAACGAGATGGCTAAGGTACGTTAGGGCGACGAGGAATAGCATATATATGTGATAAATAGAAATAAGACTGCTAGAAAGTCTACAACTATTGAGAAATATGTCAAGTTTCGTCTTCCTCTCTGTCAGTTAAACAATTTATATTTTCACGAAATTACCTAACCTAAACACGCTAACTTCTTCAGTTGACGCTTCGCTGCGCTTTTTTTTATTTGCGTCAACTTAGACACAACGCGTCTCCAAGCCCCTTGGGAGGCGTTGAGCGCTTCGTACTTTTGGACAAATCCTCCATTAACTATTGCGCGGGAGTAATCCATTAATTAATATAGTCTGTCACGTCTCGTCTCACTCAGTTGCTAAGAGGACCACCAGATAGCATCTCCGCGTACGCGCTCCTGCGTCACTCCCCAGCGGCCAGAATTGGGAAGGAATAATGGTAGGGATAAGGTTTAGGACACTTCACAGAGGATTTGACTAGCCTCCGTGAAGCATGCAAACTGGTTATGTCATAACAAATTTCACATGAGGTTCAACGGGGATTCAACGGGAATCGAATCCGGAACCTCGGTGGTGATGGGCAAGCGACTTCGACACTGAAAAATAAGATATCATTTTAGAATTGGAGGGATGAAGTTCATTTCTTCGCAGTTTAGTACACATAAAACAACGTTGGGTCTGATCAATAATTTCCAACTTATTATTGATGCCCAAATACTTATCTCGAACAGTCCTGACGGGTCACACTCGTACGATCATCTTTCTCTAGCCAGCCTGTAGTAGCCTGTGGCTACTTCACAAATAAGCCGGATGAAGTCCGAAATGATTCGTTCATCATTACTCATGCAATTCGCCCAAACCTTCTGACTAATATGCGAAATAGCCGGTTAATTCGCGAAATTGCCATATTCCTCATTTAGCCATATGATATACAATAAAAGATTCCGAATTTCAAAATGTTTGGATAGATTATATTTGTATACTATAAGTTTGTATTCTATTAACTGAAACATTAAAAAAAAGTAGCCAACATGAATAGCTATTATATGTTATATCTTATTATATATTTTGATTTTTTCTGGAATTAATTCATAGAAATGTATTTCATGTAGTGAAGCATTTTTTAACCAAGCTGTTCATAAACATGGCTTTGGCAGACTATGTGTCTATCTGGATGTTCTAGTAGTGCTTTGAAGCTATCCGTCAGTAGCAGTTGCTTTGACGCATTGTCTGTTTCCAGACGGCTGGGTTGCGCAGTGCAGAGACAGTTCGGACGCCGCAAACAGCAATTATACAATGTTTGTTCACAGCTGCAAATATTATAGGAGATGTTCTCATGTTGTAACTACTGGCAATTAGTGTGTGTGTGTAACAAGTGAATGGATGTGCAAAAACTACTCCTAACCTGTTTGCATCTAGATTGCCTTGCTAAGTCAGAAAAAACATATCTCCAATTAACCAGTGATGTCTAAACAAATTAGTTTAAATGTGCTTGCAGATTTCTTAAATTGCTTTAAATGACATGTAAAATTCAGAATCATAACAAGATTAATACTTCTTTAAAGCTCATACAATGTGATATCACGAAGATGCTAATCCATTTAGTCAAGCTGTTTATACAGAAAACAATAGAAGTTCTAATTCAATGTTACCTTCTTGTACTGTAATTTATTGTAATGACTGCCGTTTCTTATGTAGCAGTATTGCTGACAAATCACAAAAAGTCAAATAATGGCTTTTTTGCTTAGCACGGCACAACTGTGCATGAGCATTGGCCATCCCCATGACACTGGAGCCATGTGACTGACGAAGACAGAGTTGTCTCTATTAACCTCAGATAGATTTAGCTGAATAGTTGCATCTCCAAAATTTCCATCATTAATTCTCAGAGTTGAGCACAAATTACTTGCCTTTTGGCAATGTGTCAACTCTAGATTCCTTGTGTGTGTCCCATCCATGTTCTAAAAAGATCAAAGTGTGTTTGATTGACAAGATGATTTGATCAAATCTACAAATAAACGCATGGACATTGAAGCCTGTCGTGCATTTTTGTTTTAATTTTTATTTTAAACATAATCAGTTAATCCATAAACTTCAATTTTTAAATGAACTTAATAGAGTAATACACAATTGATGAATTTTATTTCCACTTACGTTTCTGTAAATAGACTGTAGATTTTTTAATGATAATTGTATTTTTGATAATATTAGTGCCACTTAATTTGACGAAAACACTACAAAAATTGTAAAACATTTTATTCAATGACATTTGCATGATAAAGCTGAAGTAAATTTTTTTTTTATTTCTTTTTAGTTGTTTTTTTTTTTGTGGCTTTTGAGAAATTGCAGTAAGAGGTGATTGTCATCTTTCACCAATGATAATTAAAATATTTTCTTAAGATATACAAGAAAGTCAAAGTGCTAGCACATGGCTCTTTTGTCAAGGGATTGGAATTTATGTTAAAGTATTTATTGAACACTTCCTTCATCTATCCACTCAATTCCATAAAGAGAAATGTTATGAGAAATGCACCAACTCTTAAAATGTGCTTTTATTATCACTGCAGCACTTTAAATACAATTTATTGTTGTAAATTTCAAGTATTAAAATAAGATAATTATATCAACCTCACTAAAAAAACTTCATAAAAATTTGAAATTCTGATTGTTATTTCAAGAGTTAATTAACATTTTATAGAAATAATATGTACAATATACATATTCATTTTCCCCAAATTTTGATTTACAATATATTAGGTTACAAAAAATTATATCATAAAGTCAATTATTCAGGATATTTTCTAGTTTTTCAATTTCTTAACCATTCTATTGAATTAATTATTTCATTATTGTCAAATAGGAAAACACTCCTTTAACAAAATTGAAAGGACTGATATTATATGTTATAACAAATAGTTATTTGTATAAAGGGAAAATAATGTTTAGAAAAAAATTCATAATTCTTGCCAACAAAATATATTTGCATACACCTGGAGTGATAATCAACCTCAAGAAGTCTTGACTGATATGATGCAATTTGTTTCTAAGAACGATAAATGTATCAATTATTCATTCTTCAGAAAGCTCAAAAACATTACAAAGTATACAGTTTATTTGTACATCTTTCAATTTTTACTTAATCTTAAAAATATCAACCTCATTGATTGTAAAAGAGAAGTGCGGATTGATTTAGATAGCGAATATAACCTAACTATTGTATTTTTGCCAGCACGCACAACATATACCCGCAAGCAGAATGACATTGTGTTTATAACCTCAAACATGTAAGGCAATTAGACTCCTGGCTATGCGTGTCCAATTTCATGACAAGACTGGCCATGTGATTAACATAAAATAACCTGGAATCAGCACAAATCACAATTTCTGAAGGCATTTTATTCAAATATAATTTTTTTCCCAAAACTTTTACACCAGTCAAAGTTGATAGTAAAGCTCTGATCTTTGGCCTTCAAGATTAACATTAATCTTAATGCTGGAAACACTGAACCTTATTAAGCGCCAGTCTTAGTTGACAACACCATTGTAAACATCTCTCTTCCTTTCCCACAATATGTTATATTCCATGCCATTATACGCTGCTGTGCACCTCAATGACCATCCATTGGCAAAATGACTTGGTATCAAAACTTACAAATTTTAGTTTGGCATCAGTGTTCATTAAGTGAAGAAATGACGTATGTAGTCCTAGTAAGTAAAGAATAGCTGTCTTTTCCCCAAAACAAAGACTTCTAGAGGCACTATGTTATTCACCCTATCAAGAACATTGAAGTTTTCTGCAAAACTGTAATACTTTCTCAATAGAATATTTTGATACAGATCTTTGTATCTGAAACATATTATGGATTAAATTCAGTCATAACTCATACCTTTAATTCTTCAATATCTATTAGTTTTATGGGGGAAAAAGCCACAAACAGAGCCAACCATCAAATTACTGTTTTAAGGAAGACCCAGCTCCAAGTTAAAATAGCTTATTTTGTAATTTGCAGTTAAAAGAAGTTTGCTGCAGTTATTTCACTTCCATTTCCTCCACTCCATGCCATTGCTCATTAATTTCACCCAATAATTTAGTGAAGCAGTTCTGTTTTCAATCATCCAAATTTTCTTCCATTTATGATCAAAGCTAATAATGATAACTGATAATGAGAAAATGGGTTCTCCAAGTGCCTTCTTCAGATAACTTCTGAGCTCATCGCATTTACACACATCACATTATTTCTGTTCACATGCTGTCTTTTGGAAAGTTGAGTATTATAAGCAATGCTCTAGTAAAATGGGGGATGCTGGAGTCTTAAATATTGTCTTTGTGTTTCAGCTGGAGAAGGCTCTAGCATCCCTTCGCTCCCAGCTGGAGTACCGAGAGAAAACTGTGAACAAGTTTCCGAAGAATCCGGGGAACTTGGAACACCTCAGTGCTCCCCTAGTCTTCAACTCCCAGCAGAGCAGTCGGAACAAAATGTCGACACTCAACGAGAAGCAGAACAACTTGAACCCCAGGTAATCACATGTCTGTTAACTTCAGACAGGTAGCAATAAATATCAAAAACTGAGAAAGAAAATGCTGAAATTAGGAAGTAAACCAAAATTAACTGATGGGTTAGCCAAAAACAATGGCATGTTTTGAATGTGAGAGATATGTCATAATTAGGGCTAGGATTTTTATGACTTACAAACTTTGCTCAAATGTACAAAATAAAATTTCACATTACCGCTAAAACATGGAAAAATATGCTTTACGGACACAATTATCTATGTGTATTGCGCTACTTAATGCGTTAGGTGGGGCCTTATTTACAACAAATAAATGAAAATACTTGCCATCTATCATGGTTGCAGTTTGTCTTCTTGATTTAGGGCATCCCTTAACATGTTTCTTTCATCAAGATCAACTATCCACAGATACATTGTGGAATTAGTGGTTGAAGGGATAGAATGTAGATCAGTGGCAAGGATAGAGAGTTCAATCACCAAGTAGAATGTGGACTGGAAAAATTTTCTGGCACCAACAAACTTTGATTTTTTTTTTTTTTTTTTAGATCTAATCAAGTGTGCGATTATACTATACTATAGCTGTTTTACTCATTATAGATTATATAAAAAATACTGAAGTGTACAAGAATTTTTTTTAAAAAGCTGAATATGATAATCATGGGTGAAGCATGATTAAAATATGCTCTATTTTACAAAAATGCCCAAAGAGGAAATAGCCTATTTTAACATTTTCATAACTTTAATTTCTGTATGTTAGAAAAAACATATAACAAAAATTCATGAAAATCTAGCACTAAAACATAACCAGAAGAATTATAAGGTAAATGATTTACTAATAAACAATTTACAATGCGAAAAAGTACACACATCTTAAATACATCATATACATAACTTACATTTATTTTACAGGTTTCACTGTAATTTTGACCATATCACACAACACTACCTTATCTAGAATATACCTGATACCCACTTACTCTTCCAAATACACAGCTATTAATAAATCATTGTCATAAATAAAACTATTATATTTGGAGGACAGGTCACTAAAACGAAATATTTTTAAGCATAACACGCTTAAAGCAAAACTGTAATAATATCAATGACACTTTATGTCTACAACTATATTTTAAAGGCTAAATATAATTCTCAAGGATGTTATCAAATGGTAGATGCTCTATACCAGTAACTGATGTACATTAGTGAGTATTAGTCTAACTACATTCCTAAATTTCCATGGCAAGCAAGATTTTTTTTTACATTGTATCCTCATTCAGTTTTGTAGTTGTACTAAATTCAATGCATGAATATATAAAACCCTTCTTTTCCTTTTAAAGTTTGGAACAAATTTCAGTGGACTAACATCCTGGCATGTTAGATGATGGGTTTGTGTTGTCTGGTATGGTCTGTGTTGACGGTGTAGTCAGTTCTAAATTTTTTTCTGGATAAATGTTACGTAAAATAACCAACAGAATTTATCAACTGTAATGCTGCATTATTCATAAATCTAATACCTCTAATTTTTAACTAGAAAAATGTTTGTTCAAATTGTAAATCAAATATATGTCTAGGTGGCAGCATGACATAAATTAGCAAGACATTTTATCCCTCTTACATCTTCATTCTCATATTTGTTTCCTAGTACATAACTACTTGAATAGTGAATCGAGATTACTCATCAGAATTAAAAGCGGATGTGTGTTCATGTTCAGAGGACCTCCCAGTCTTTAAAATCTGTTCTTGTTATTGAAATAATTGTAACAGCATTTTCACCAATCCTGAAGAGTAAATAATTATTAAATGTTTATTTTGTCACATTAACTATCACTTTTAATTTGTTGTGTAATGTACATTACACTTTGCTAGACAAGCTGTTTAATAAGTACACATTTTCATATTTAAAATAATTTTATATAAGAAAATAATGTAGTTAATGAGATAAAGAAGTCAGATCAGGAACAATGATCTGCTTTTCCAGCCATGGAGGCAGCTCAGAGCAGCTTTTAATGGTTTTTCTTTCTGTTTGAACTAACACGCCGGGGTGCCAAGCCACGCCAGCTCTGGCCCTATGCTAATTAGACCTCACTTGAGGGTGGTTGTTGGTGCCGCAGTGCCACGGGGGAGGCCTCCAGTCCAGCCAACATCGCCAACTCCAGCAGCAGCAAGGCAGTGCTGCCAGTGCCCACGCTGTCTGTGCTCCTGGTGCCCCTCCTCTCCTGGATCCTGCTGGACTCTTTTGCCCTAGCTCTAGCCTCTCTCCTTATGATCCTGGCGCTGCTCTTGTACCTCGGCCCATGACCTGGAGTGCCTGTATGTTTTTAGTGTTAGTGTGTGCCTGCCAACAAATCCATAGCCTGCATGCTGGTTCCTAGATGCCTCCTCTCTTTATAGGCAAAAATATACGATCATTATCTCACACTCTACAAGACTTTGTGAATTCAATTGGTCAAACAATTGTCATGGGAAATAGTTATGCATGTGTTTTGTAAAAAGTAAATGTTTGTAGATACAAATATTGGAAATTGTCAATTGTACCTTTATACTCCCAAAATGACCATGAAAGACCCAAAAGGGATTATGTTTGCATAATTTTGCCTATTTGCTTGTTTGCTAAGTGCTTTTGCCACTCAAAAGATGGAAACATCATACTGTTTTGATACATTTTTTACTTTTTTACTTTTGATACATTTTACTGAAATGTCACTTCTAGACATATGTTGGACATTTAACTACACTTTATTTATACAAGACTGTGTATTATGTGACTAAGTATGTGAGGTTTTATTGGATATGTGTTGAATCAAATTCGGCTGCATTTTGAAATTGCCCATTAGTAGCTAATAAATTGACCTAACTGCTGTGATAAAGAATCATATATAAATTTATAATAATGTTTAATACATGTGATACTCACTGGTCTATTTCAAGATTTGTAGGAATGTCAATCATATGCATTGGCTGTGTTCAAATGACTTGCATGTATTGTGATGTTACATTGCATGCAAGAACTGTCTATAGTTTTGCTAAATGACAGCTGCAAGAGTGCCTCCATTTGTGAATGGCCAGCCTAGACTATTACCCATCCCAGAAAAATCCTTTTTTCTTGAGCATCTTTCTCTCCCTGGGCCCTGTCTAATATCACTGGTACGGGCGGCACAGGGAGAGCGAGGCACAGTTCCTGCTGCAGCTGCAGGAGAAACGGATAATGGGGCAAGTGCTGGAGGATGCATCATCATTCAGCCAGGAGGAGATGATGAGACAACAGCAGATGCAGCAGCTATCAACACAGCTGCCATACAACTTATGCAGACAGATGAACAAGTATGACAATATTTTTCTATTGAATCATGTTTTATTATGACCTCAAGGTATCTATCACTCAACAAAAGATAGAAGAGGCAATATGAAAGTAACTGTACATCCATCTCCCTAAAAATCTTTTGCTCCATTATTCTCCACTAGTTAACAGTGTAACTGCAATTTGTTTAAAAAACAGTGAGATTAATAACTAAATTGAATAATATATTTTGTTCACAGTGTGGAGGAGAGGGAAGTTCAGCAAGAAAGAGAGGAAATGGAGCAGACACACAGAGTGGAAATTCAACAGGTCCTCCAACAAGAATGGGCTCAGGAGTCCCCAGTGGAGCCTCTCAGCCCAAAGGTCAAGGGAAGCAGTCCAATACCAGCAAAGGACGACATGGACGCCACAAATCCACCACTGCTTCTGCTCAACAAAATGGCAGAGGTGGACTCCAGGGTGTATCACGAAGCTCCCGCAATTCACGGAAATCGCGTAATGCGAGAAATGTCCGAACCTCCGGCCCCGGTCCTGGCCCCAATAATCCCAGACCCACTCAGTAGTCCTCGGCGGTGGTGGCGGTCCTGTTCAGCTCCACCATAAATTTGCAATTCACAAAACACTGGATTTATCACCATGAACACTCGTTCACTACCTCCCATGGGCTTGTGTATGGCTCTGCACTGTAGGTTCAGAGGAACGTACGCTAGCAAGCCATGAGGATGGTCTGCCTCATGCACTCCGAGAGCTAGGAGTGCATGCAGAGGCTGCTGGCCATAGGTCTAACCAATGGGATTGTAAAAGGGGTTTTCACTTGTCTACTTGAGAAGAGGTTAACCCACCCTGCCTCTAGAAAGTAATGTGCAGCTGTAGAGATTAACCCATTTTGAAATCTGAAAAATGTGGTCTGCATATGTTCACCAGAAATTATAAGATATGCATTTGAAATAATAGATTCTTTTAATAAATCAAGTATCCAACAATGTTTTAGCAATCTCTGTTTATATTTTACAATTGCACATTCTTTATTAATAACATTTACTAATACAATAAGCAGTTTTTGATACTTGTTTAAATGTGAAGGATCTAGTCACAAATCTCATCTTAAGAACATTGTATTTAATTATTAAATAGAAACAGAAAAAAACTTCAATATTTTCATATTTTACCATATTGTTGCAATGTCTTCATATAGTTTATAATATTGTTTTGAATGTCTATGCCACATAAGGTGGCAATGGCTGATGTTTGTTAGCTTGCAGTTGTGAACAAATTCCTCAAAGATGATGAGCGTAGGTGTTTAAAGTTGAAGACAAGCAGCAAATGATTAAATAGTAATGGCAGTTGCTGACTTTTGAGTATTGAAAGTTTCATTTTAAGAGAATTTTTTTCATATAGAAAGAGATCAAGTATGAATGCATCACCCATAATTGCAGACAAATCTGATTCACAGATTCAAGAGATAATACAGTTCAATTAACTGAGATAATCCTGCTACCAGGCATTTATCTCTTGAAGTCTAGTGATGGAATATGTATCATGTAATTGATTGTGAGAAACATATTCAGTAGTATGTAGTGGCTATAAAATTTGCCATTGAGAATACAGAATGTTACACCAACTAGCAATAAAAAATACACCATATCTAAATAGAGTTTTATTTCCAAAAAACCTTCATTTTATTCCTCGAATCTGCAACTTTACACATTTATTATTGTCGGGCGAAAAATAATTTTCTAGGAATTTGTTTCAGAGATTCAAGATTTGTATGCCATGAAAACATACTCTTAATATTCAATGTTGAAAGGATAATATTTATGGTCCTTTATCCTGAGAAAAAAAAGCATGTTTCATTAATCTACCTTAATCAGCTTTAACAACTTTCCACATCCCCCCCAATCAATTTGACTATTATTAATTTATTACTTGTCTCAAGAATCATGTGCAACATGCATTTCAAATATTAGTTCCAATATTCTTATGAATGCGTAACTAAAACACTCACCAGTTAAGATGACAGAAACGGCCATTACAATCAAAAGTGTCAATGCATTCCATGTCTTCATTTTTCAATTCAAAATCAAAAATATCAATATTCTGTTCAATGCGAGACTTGGTTACTGATTTAGGTATAGTGATGAGGCCTCTCTGTACCTATAATCAAATTGTGAAAAGTATTTGACGCTTTCAATGTTTAGGTTGCACACCAAAACAATACAGAACAAATTTTACATTTGAAGACAAGATGCACTTTAATAGTGATGAATTCGTTTCTTACTGATTTACCTTCTGAATTCTTTTCTTATTAAAAAATTTCTGAAAAATAACTTAACTTTACAAAAAAAAAAAAAAAAATTTGCATTTTGTCAGAAATACACTTATTTAAATTTATGTATTATACATTCCACATCCTCCTTTAAAATTTTTATGGAAGGAAAAAAACTAGTGGTACTACAGAATGCCACAGATTTTCTTGTACTGGTTAGTTTTCTTTTCTCTTCAGCCTCTGTTCAGCTTTGCCTTATCCTCTTCTCAGCTATCATCTACTGGATTCTATCATCAACTACATCTAACATACATTTTTTTCCTGCTTCATGTTTTCTCTTTTTTTTTTTAAATCTTTAATAGAGAATTAAATATGACTTAAGGAATACTATAGAAGAGTAAAACCTGGTCCTGTATCCCAATCTCCGTGAAAACATTTGGAACCATTTATCAGAAAAGTTTGAGTGTTTCTGAAAATATCCGAAATTTTGAGATCTTTTTTGCTGAAAACTCTGAGTTTTCAAGAAACATAATTGGAAATTATTTGAAACATTTCCACTCACAAACGCATTCATGTATATAAATCACAGGCAATGTAAATACTAATAATTAAGAGATATTTCAAAAAAAATTATATTTGTGTACTTTTTAGAAAAGCAAACGAATACACAGAGGCGTATCTACGGTATGGCAGACATGGCACGTGCCATGGGTGCTGCTCACAAGGAGTGCTATTTAGAGTATACACACTAAAACAAATCACAACAACCCTAATTTCAAGTTTCCTAACAGGGGCACAAATTCTATGCTTGCCATGGATGCCTGAATACCTAATTATGCCTCTGCAAAGGCAGCAAAATAACGGTTATGTCATCTTATACAGTGCATTTAGCTTTTAGAAAAAATATAGAAGAGAAAATTTGGATCCATTTTTAAGAAAATCTAGTTGTAATAATACCCTCATTTCGTGCAAATTTTTTTCAAAATTGCTCAATTTACTACAACTGTCAAAGCAATGTACAAGACATTAATTAAAGCACTCATCATGGAGAACATATTTCCACTTGAAGAAATAATTACTAGCTTCATTATTGTACTCATACAAAGATACTCACTTTTGTAATTTCAGAATTAACAGGGGAAATCAGACCTCTACCTTTAGAAGCCTTTAATCTATTTTTACAAGAAATTTAAAAGAACAAATTTTCAGAAAATTTTGTTGTCCCAGTAGCTTAATGTAAAGCACCCCGAAAATTTGTTTTCAAAATTGCAGAGCTTTGAGTAGTCAGATCAATTAAGAATATTCATTTTGGAAAAATCCTAGAAATATTTTAGGCACTACTGTTGTTCATAAACTGTCAGTTGGATGGATGAACAGACAGACATTATGGAGAGAGAGGGAAAGAAAAACTAGTGGTGCTACAGAATGGCACAGACTTTCCCGTATTAGTTTTCTATTTCCATTGGTCTTGGCTAGCTATTTGCACTTTCCACATATTCTTGCTAGCTACCATGTATCAAGTACATTTTTTAAAATAATTTTCTTAATTTTTCAGCTTTCTAACAATAGAATTGAATTATTACTTTAAAATAGTAAAGAACAGTAAAACCGTACCTTAAATAGCAATTTTCATTGAAATATTTGGAACCATTTTAAAGAAAATGACATTTAAATGCTACTGTAAATTCGAAATTTGAACCTTTTTTCACAGAAAACTATTGAGTTTTTGAAAAACTTCATATGACATAATTTCAAGCACTTCCAGTCACAAACGCAAAAGTATTTACAAATCACTGAAATGTGCATATTAAAGACATAAGAGATCTTTCAAAAAAATTACATTTGTGTAATTTTAAGGGGGAAAAAACAAAAAAAAACAAAAATATTACATCACATAAGAGTACGTCACATGAGATTAGCACTATCCTTTCGAAAAGTTTGAACACAAATTTGAAGTCGTTTTTGAGAAAATTATGTTTGGGCGTTTCTGAAATTGCAAAATTTTGAGCTAGTTTTGAAAGACGGTTAACTTTTTGAGAAGCTTTATATGACTATTTAAAGCACATGTACTTATAAATATAATAATGTGAACAAATTGCTGCTAATGTAAATATTAACAACTTGAGAGAAAAGTCAAAAGAAATTATATTCTTGTCATTTTTGAAAAAACAGAAGAATAGAGCAATATGGCGTTTATGTTACTTCATAGAGTGCACTTAGCACAATCTCTACCAAAAGTTTAAAGACAAAATTTGGAGCCATCTTCAAGAAAATATTTTAGTACTTTTCTGAAATTGCATGCAATACTGTGTGAAAAATACTAAAATTTCCAAAAAATTTACATAACCTTAATGAAAGAACAAATTATGGACAACAAATTTAATTTGAAGGAAAAATCTCTATCTTTAATTTTGTAATTGTAGGAAGACCCCCAAAAAAATTCAAAAATTTAGAAATTTTCGAAAACTCAGAGTTTACCATGAAAATTAGACCTATGCCTATTTGTATTTACTCTATTCTTACAAGAAAATTAAAGCAAAAATTTGGAGCAGTTTTTGAGAAAATTTTGAAAATGTCCCAAGGGCTTCATGTTAAGTACCCCCTAAAACGAATGAATGATTGTCAAAATCGCAGGGCTTCAACTTAGGTCTAATGGACAGGGGTTTCTTCAAGATTGTCAGAATCAGGGGAACCCAAAATGTGGATTTCTATTGAAATCTCGACATTGATTTTCTGCAACATTACATGACATTCTCAATAGTAAGTGTATTACTTTGTATAAACATGTATGTACAAGAAAGTAAAAAGATCTCCATTGAGAAAAATTCTTGATTATAATCTTATAGTCATAATCTGAAGTTTTTTAGAGCAAAGGATCTTGTTGTACATGGCGAAAGTAAAGAAATTTATTCTTGAAATTTAAATCCCGCCTTTTTTAAACCATTTTCAATCAGATGATTTTGTCAATATCAAGGCAAGCAGAGTCTTACCAGTAACTGCCTAATACGAGCTTACATTTTTTTTCAGTCATTGAAATGTTAGTTTTTAGTCTTTGAACCAGCTAATGTTCTAAAACCTTTTATCTTCACTGCTAAAAAAATATTTTGTAATAGAAACAGTCTTTGTTAATAAAAACTTTTTTCAGAGTAATTTTTATTCTCACAGTTGAAATGATGCATAAATCTAATAAACTGTATAAACCCTAAGCTTCTTTGAACATTATCAGATGTGCAATCTTTGATCTCCTGCAGAGACATGAACCAATGAATAATATCATTTCAATTATTTCCCTGAATTCAAAATAACCGACTATTATATCTTGTCATAAGAACATATGATCTTCTTTGAAAACTGCTAGCATGAGTACAATTTACCTAAACTGAAATATTTAATAATTATTGTTATGTTTATAGGAAAAAAAACAACTAAAAATGCAAACATCATAGTGGAATCACCAGGTATTAGATAGATCATGTAGATCTCTTATCTACATGGTGTATCAGATGAGAAAGAAGGGAAAAAACCCAAGATGTGGAGACAGGAATGAGATACTAGACAGTACCATAATAGATACGTACATTATATCGCAGCAGAATCTGTGCAGGTGTCTTGCCATACTTTTGAGCAATTTCTTTCAGCTTGGGATCATCCATGAGCTGAGGATCACCTGGTTTAGCCCAGGGGCGATCAGGTGATCCCAAAGGACTGTATGCAGTTATCACTATGTCTTTACTCTTACAATACTCAATCAGTTTCTTTTGATTTAAGTAAGGGTGGCATTCGACCTGAAAAAGTAGAAATGTATGACAACCAAGAAGTGTTGTATTGCATTGAAGTGTTTTAATGACAAATTGTATTTCCTGAAATCAAGCAAAATAATAACAATAACAATAATAGTAATAACAATAATAATAATAACAATAATAAATGTATGCTGATCCAATGCCCGAGATTGTTAAGACAGTAGTGCAGTTGTGATCTCGAACCAAAGGATCGCAGATCGCATGGTTGTGTTGTGTGTCTCTGCATGTTATGTGCATCTATTTCATCATTCATCATCATCATAATGTCATCCCATCCCCAACCTGGGGATATAAAAACGGAATTAGCATTAAAATGCTGATTCCCCTCTATTGAAAAAGTAATGTGCACCTACCACGATAATTGAATGAGTCTGGGTGGGATGCACATATCGCATGGCCCCATGATGATCCGCAAAATAAAACAAAACGGGAAAAGAGAGTAGAGAAAAGAGAGAAAGGGGGAGAGAGGAGAGATTTTTTGTAGCATTTCATAACTTGTTCCATGATATATATAGAGTAGTAGAGTTAAACCCATTTATAATAAGGCTAATAAAATAAAAATGAGGAGCCCCAAAAATGACACCATAGAACAATGCATTTGCAATGCAAGGCAACAACCCATTGTCAAACTGCGTCGAATTAAATAACATACCTAATAAATCCTCATTTTTTTGGCCTGAATGGGTTTGTGTGGTTCATAAAATATAGTAAGGAATTTGTGTTACGACTACAAATATTTGACTGTTTCATGTTTCAGTGCTGTAGAGCCATCGTTACTCATCAGTTCTAAATATAATCATAGGAATTTGGAGAAAAGAATATAGTAATGCATAATTTCCCTCTTCCTTGTTGCAAAACTCATGAATTCTTTTATTTTTGTTTGTGCTTCAAAATGTATTCTTTAGTGAGCCTAAGCATAATTTAAGCATTAGTGTTGTTTACAGATGAACTGACAGACTTTTTGAAACAAAACACTTTTTGGTGTAAGAGGCCCCATTGAAATCTCAAATCAATTTTATGCAACATTTTCTCAACTACATATATTATTCCATATGTAAACATATGTAAAAGAGAAAGTAAAAATAGGACCAAAGCATTATACATTTAATTTTTTATGATAAAAAGTTTTATATTTTACATAACATGATTTTTGCTATATACATATTTTTATCAAGTAACAAACCAATTTCTGAATTAAAAAATGAAAAAGAGACAAATACTTCTACATGAAAACTCTTGCAAAAGAGTAAAATAACAAGACTTGGATGCTTACTTATAAATAATGTGTAGATTAATTTAATCAAAAATTCAATTTAGTAAAATTGCATTCATGATTTTTAAAAGGAATAATGTTTCCTGGCATACCTGATTGGTCACAGGTTTGATTTCTGCAATGGCCAAAACACGATCTATCTGTTCATGGTTAAAGTTAGAAACACCAATTGATTTTGTCAGGCATTTCTTCACCAACTTTTCCATTCCTTTCCAAGTGTCAACATAGTCCACATCACTGTACACAGTCTTTCCATCTTTCTCAGGAATAAACCTATTTCCTACAAGTACAAGGGGGTTTAAATTCACTATACAATATCCATTTAACAATAAAGACCTCAAATGCTTTTACTATTTCCTCACTTTTCTTCCAATGCAATAAAATGGAAAATCCTTTAAAATCCTTTTTAAAAAAAAACTGCAAAAAACCATGTCCTAAATTTACCAACATGCAAATTTCATTTGTGATTGTAAAAGAAATTCAGTCCCACCTTGTATGCTTGAGGCCAATGAATCAAATACAAATCTAAATATTCCAGTCCTAAATTGCATAATGTAGTCTTAATAGCAGGTTCAATGAGATCAGGACGATGAAATGTATTCCACAACTAAAAAATAAACATTCATCAAAGGCAAAATAATTATAACCACATGTAACAAAATAAACAGGACTTTATATCAAAAACAACACAGAATATGACAAGCTAAAATAATCTAAATAAGAGGCATTTGTGTTGATGTCCTTCATAACCATGCAAATGGATATGTACCTTGCTAGTGATATACAAATCCTCACGTTTTACAACACCTTCTTGAATTTTCTCTTTAAGAGCGGCCCCGACCTCAGTTTCATTGCCATATACGTGTGCACAGTCGATATGTCTGTATCCGGCATCAATTGCATTCTTCACCGCTTGAGTCACTTCGCCGGGTGGAGACTTAGAAACAAGTGCAATATGTTACATTACATGATATTACAACATTTTAAATGGTAAATAGAAGACATAAAACGTTGATTGGAACATTTGTTACTATAAATCTGACTTAATTTCGAAATTGTCACAATGTCAATGTCAATGTCAATGTCAATGCCAAATATGCATATCATTACCTTCCACGTTCCAAGGCCAAAGATCGGAAATTTTAAATCATTGTTGAACTGCACGAATGGAACTTTTTGAGCCATGTTCGTGCACGAAGACGGTCTATATTTACTGCCGGCGAAACAGACTGCACTAGTGCTAAAATACTCTCGCCGAAAGGACCACTCTCCCACCCGCTTTGAGTTTTGTACTGCGGGGCGGCATAAGCCTCGCGTGATTGGACTACCCAATAATGTACGCATGATAGGCTACGCCAGAGAATATACGCGGAGAGATCTTTCCAGCGAATCTGCGCGTTTCAATTCTGATTGTGAGTAACAGCAGCAGCTGACTGCAAATCACGTTTGTGTTTACGTCACAGAATAGATGGCGAGCAACTTTTATTGGATATAAACAATTAGAGCATGTACTCTTAAACTTAAAAAAAGTAAAACTTGCCCTATTCGTTTTATTAATACCGGCCTCGAAAAAATTCAATTTAGAGCTAACCACATCTTGCTCGAGGTCTGTTGGATGTTCCGAGATGTTTCATGATAAAACTGACCTTAAAGCAAGGTCGCAGATTACTTCAGTTGTATCAACATTGAGATTAGCAAAGAAGGCCTAATAATTATTTCACATCTATCCGATTTACAGAAGGAAGATTCGTGTTTAGAGTTCGTATTGACAGGGGATTTCTAATCACGCCGTTTGGTTCGTAAAACACACGAAGTGCAAACTGAGTAGTAGTAAGGTGGTTTATAGGTACGTTTTAAGAATGGACGCAACTATAGCATCACTATGCGCACTCATTGTCGAGCTCCCCGTTTATTATTACTTTCCCGTATACGTATATACAGTCAAGGCATGTAGGCGCTAGTGTTGTTCACACACTATCGACGAACTAGTGACGATTGAACGTTTTGTCATAAACTAATTTTTCGGTATCGAGGACCCACAAATCATGGATTCTAACTACACAACGTGTTAGAGCAAATAATTACTACATATTGGAACAAGATTTATTCGCATTTTCTGTTCCAAGGCCTCCAATTAAGAGTTTTTCTCCTGAAAAATCACCGTTTGGCCGCAGCATTAAGTAGCTTTCTCTAAATTACTCCGTATATACTTGCGTATACGATGAAGTAAAAATTTGAAGCTATTTTTGAGAAAATTTGGAAGCTAAAGTACATCCCGAAATCAAAATATGCATCTAAAACTCAGAGAGACTGGTGTTCATTTAAATCGATCGGAAAATATCAATTTTGGAGAAACTCGGCTGACCAGTTTAGGCGCTAGCCTTTTCCTAAGGCAGACACGTTGTTAATCGATTTTTCAGTATCAAGCCTATATATAATAATATATATTTAAATATATGAATTATATATATAGTAATATATAATATATATATATTGTTCTTTGCAGGTCGAAAATCCCGTCCACCCCACCACCCCGCCCTCCCTTTGTCACTGCCAGGAAGCATCGCTGTCAGGCCAACAGGGCTAATCCCTGCTCCTCTCTTAAAAAATGAATGTAGTACCCTTTACCCATCGTCTGGTGGGAGCTCCCTCCACGCTAGGACACAATTGAATTTTGTGCGGAAACGTCGCTGACCGACACGTTTTTTCCGCGGTAGGGTGACCGCTGCGTGATTCCGTGAAAGGAAAACGCATAGGCGCGGGGGTTGTGTGTGATATACGGACTCTTTGTGTACAATGCAAGAGGGATTGCGGGGTTCATTAGCACCGGCAACACTTGTCAAAAACAGTTACGGCGTCCTACGACATCCTTTGACTTGTCACATCCCGCGCGAGCGCCTGCGACGTCAGACAGAACGTTTATTTCTTTATTTGTTGTAAGTGACTAGTCAAGACGACTACTAAGTATTGTCACGGACTGGAAAGGCACAGAAAATTTCCGGCTGCTCGAATACGGACGAAAAGGCACTTGATTTCTTGCTTCCGTCGTGGATGGATGTGCGATTTTCGAATCTCCACAAGGAGACTCCCGTAACTTCTCAAGATCGCGGGACTTGGTAAAATTTTACGGAAATGCAACCGTGTGCTATCTTAGCACGTAACTCTCCTTATGCATAAAGTAACGCTTACGGACAACATAATTTCGAATACAATGGTTGATTGCTAATACCTAAGTCAACGTGCCGTACATAAAACTGAATGTTATTTGTTCCCCGTGAATCAGTTACGGAAATTTCCTCCGCGCCATCAAAACGAGCGTTAAGCCCATAGAGGAGAGATACATAGAGAGAGTTGTATCTCTCCTCTATGGTTAAGCCTGACATTCCTTTAATCACGGAGTAAAATCCGAGTCCTGCCGTGCTGTGAACGCGTGTTCGAGATTGGACGGCTCCGCTGACGAGAGAGACCGGTAAAGGCCGCATTGACTCGAGGAGAACTACGCACCTGGGCGTGGAGGCAGATTTTCTTCCGCGAACGGAGAGCGCGTGCCACCCTGCTGCGTACCCGCCCACCTCTCTTGAGTCAGGCGCGTGCGACCTGCGTGTGAGTTTCTTCTTCAGGGCGATACCCCAACATCAGCTGAACAACAGCGGTAAATAGACAGCTATGATGACTGTGAGTCACTTTTAATGAAGATTTAAATTCTTAATTACAGCAAAGCTGCGCATGACTTTTGAAAGTATAAATAAATTTAATTTATCGCAAATTGCGATCAATAGCGCCAATAAAGCGTACTGTTATTTTTTTGTATTTAGTTATAAGTTTTAGTTCTTAATTAAACATTTCCATTTAAATCTATGGCGTACGTTCTTTCGAGATGCACTCGTTAGCCCGAATTGCTCCCTGCTCAAGTAGCTTCCTGTTGGCGCCCAATGATCACCCTTCAGAGCAACATTCAAAATTACACGAAAGCTATGAAGAGACAGGTAAGTTCCAGCGAGTGAGTCGTGGAGTCAAGTGATGCTGCAAACCCCAGTTAGAAGGAGCATCCCAGAGGGCTGCCCGTCACATCACTTAATATATAATGAAGCATAATTTGAAAAATGTAAACACAGTGACGGAGTTAAAAGAGAGGAGCGATCAACCCGAATCAAAGAACACATTCTCAGAGGCGAGATCAATTGAAAATGTTAATTTAAAATTATATGATTGCAATGTTTTGTTAAAAAATCGCGTGGGCGTCGTGTTCTGTGTATAACCGCAATAATAGTGTGATCGAGAAAATGAGAAATAAAAAAATGCCAAAGTTTTATTAAATAAACAAGATTTTATGTAAATGCAACGCAGAAAGTATTTGTAATAGATTTCTTCATAATAGAACTAGTAAATATGATCTGTAGGCGATGACAAAGCAGCAATGATTTTGAAATATTTTAGTAGTTAACATAAAAAATGTATACTTTAGAGAGAAGTGTAATCTTAGTTGAACCATGAGTGTTGTCGCAATAAACGAGATTTCATAAGAAATCTATAGAAATTCTACAAATAAGAGGTAGTGAAAGTTATCGGTACCACTAAGAAGTGACTAACCAATAACTTTAACAAATAACTCTAACAAACCAATAACTTACGGCAAAGAAAGACGAAACTGTAAAATGTGTGGCAAAGGTTATGGATCAGAACAGGATGCAGGAAGGAAATGTTGGGAGTTCTTGATATTTACTCTAGGAAATCATTTTATTACAGCATCTCTTAAAACTTTGCTTCGGAAATAATATTTTCGAAAAAATGTTCTGTCTGAATAAATAAGTAACGCAAATTTTAAGTATGAACCTCGTGTAATTTCTCCGAAAGTGAAGGGCAATATTTGAATTCCCGCACTTCTTGGCCTCCCAATGGCAGGTAATGGTTCCATTTGGGAGCGGATTTCGTTGCCGATCGCCACAGAGTAGTGGGGTTCTGCGTCTACAGAGCCACTGATCACACCGTGCCGAATTATTATGGATGAATACATAATAATATCTACTTTTTAGATGAATATGTTTATCTATGGTATTATACTCCGGCCAGGGTCTTTCAACCCCGTCGATATAAAGGACAAAAATCTAGGGTGCAAGTATAGGAGCGCTAGTGACTCCGGATACAAGTATAGGTGTCTCGCCAACTTTGCACGCTAAACATTTGGCGGGATATACAAAATACACTTGGATCAATTATTTATAATGCTAAAATTTGCTGCAAAATTCAGTAGACCCATGCAAAGCGAGCCTTTTTCAGCGGGCGGGCATAGGTGCGTCCCGTCAGTCCACACTTGGATACGGTCAAACCCTCATCTTGTAAAGTCGGCCGTGATCTGGGCCACGAATCAAATCAATAATGTTGGTAGCATGTTTGACTTTTAGTTGTGCAAGAAGGTGCAAAGGTGGAGCTCGCCACTTTTCACCACCACCATCAAGCATCAAGATAGTTGTATGGCCCTTGCTCCGGTGTGGGCGTGCTCAGTGGTGCTCAGGCGTGCTCCACTGTTACGCGCGGACATGCGCTTCATAAACTTATTGTTTTTAATGCTGGTGTGATGATCGTTGATCACTAACAATCTGTGGATGAAGTATTATTTAACTAGATGTATAACATCGAGTTGGAAAACGGACAACTCACTAAATGGGATACTGATTAAAATAAAACCTAATGGCCTGGTTTATGTTGTGGACTTCTGTGTATTTCTCTTGTTACTATGTTTACCCAATGAATTATATTGGAAATCTCATGAGTAGTTTCGATTGTTAGTGAAGGCAAAGTAATTCATGAGCTATACTTTGCTGATATCTGAACTTTTTGGTTTGAACACCATTGAAACTGCCACCATAAGTATTTCATGAACTTTAAAATTATCCTAAATGCATCATGCCTCCCAAAACTAGAAAGTCATTAAGTCCATGGTATAAATGTGATGTATGTCATTCCATCTTGACCCATAAAAATGTAGAAAAACATGCTGAAAACTCTTGCCCTCCGTCAGAAGATAATTGGACATATGGTTTTATTAGAGAAGGCACGTTGCACAGTATATTGGAGGAATGTCTTTCACTAGGTGATTACATTATTTTATTTATGTAACATAATTATTGCTTTTCAGTATGTGCATTTCATTCTTATTCATATTGTATGATATTCTTACATTAAATTGTTTTACAGATGTTCTAAAAAATCTTCCAAAATCTGTAAGTAAAGACCTAGTATTACTTTCACAATCAGCAATGCAGCTCTGTGAGTTGTGTATTGGTGATCCAGCTATGGTTGTTACTAGAGAAGGAATTCTGACTGTGAAAACTGTGTGGCCTATTCAAGAGGGAAATTTAACATCTGTATTTATGACTAGAGAAGGTAAGTTATTAACATATTTGGGGAAAGGAATTTTATTTTTTAATAGTGAAAATTAAGACCAAACATATCTTCATTGTTTTTTGGTACTGTTTAATTGTTGTGGTACTGTGTTGTGTTTGTTGAACTGTTATCAGAATCCATTTTCTAGTAAATGTAAAATTCATTGATTGTGGTTTTGGATGTGATTCAAATCACATCATATTTAGCTTGACTACTTGATAATTCTTTTCTATGTACCTTTCAAGGACTGGATATGTCATGCATTCCTCACTCCACACAAGTAATACTTAAAAAACTTGGATCTCTTCCAACACCAGCAAAAGAAATTGAGATCATCCCTTCAAATCAAAATCTTGATATTCCTGAATCTCTCATCCATCATCAGTTGTTGGGAAGTATTTTGAGTAAAGATTATAAGTTCAAAATTCCATACTACGGGAAAGTGCAGACATTTGAGGTGAAAAATGTAAAACCTATGAGTTCATATGAAATGAAACCAGTCGCTGAGCAGGCTTTGGAAAAGAAAATGAATGACTTGAACATTTTTGAAAGTAGCGGTGATAATGAGCCCATTTTAGAGAAGTTTTTCAAGGTGGTTCAAGGAACTCGATGGATTAACTCTCTCAAGTCTAGAAATAGATCATCTGAAGATAAGTCATATCGCAAAATGAATCGATTATCACAAATTGGTGGTTTGGAGGAAGTTATTGAGGACTTGCAGCAACTTTTGCTCCTAGTTTTTCAGAAAGGAACTCAAGTACACGGAATCAAAAATACTCATGGGATATTATTATATGGACCTCCAGGAGTAGGCAAGACAATGCTTGCGGAAGCTATTGCTGCTGAAAGTAAATGTTGTATATTTCATGTTCATGGAGCTGAACTGTTCAGTAGATTTGTTGGTGAAGCTGAAGAAAAATTGAGGAAAATATTTGAAGATGCTGTTCTAAGTGCTCCAAGTTTAATTCTTTTGGATGAAATTGATGCATTGTGTCCACGACGTAATAGTAGTAGCTTGGAACAAGAGCGTCGTATTGTTGCAACTTTGGCTACTCAATTGGATGGACTTGGTGATACTGCTGTTGTAATAATAGCCACTACTTGTCGACCAGATAGTATTGACTCTGCTCTTCGTCGTCCTGGCAGGTAATTTTCTTCAAATGAAGTTGAATTTATAATTAAAGAGAAACTTACAATTGTCTTCGGATGTTTCTAATAATTGTCTAAGAATTTTGGAAATGATTCATTCAATTATTATGCTCAGCACATGTCAGTTAACTAGAGAATATAGTTTAAAGTCCTAAAAATAGTCAATGCAATGTAATGCAA